GCCACGTGGCAACTGATAGGTGGGGTGGGTGGGGGAGAGGAGCAGGGAGGAAAGCCTGCTCTGATACCAGTGTGACAGACCCACCGGGATGGCGGTCCGTTAGGATCAAGACGAAGGGATGAGGATGAGGGAGATGGAGATGGAGCTGGAAGGGACAGCGCAGCTCCAACGCAGACTCAACACGCACGTACTCCAATCTGTGCAAATGAAGAATGCCATAAAACAGACTGCAGTTGGGGTATACCCCCAGCGGACTGGCTGGACTGGACTGGACTGGACTGGACTGGTACCGACAGTGGTACCGGGCAGGACTGGACTGGACTGAATAACCGCACGGCATGTGGGGTCAGGCCACGGCCTGGTCCAACAGGCCGGATTGGCAAATAGCCAAATAGGCCCTGGCTGTGGGCCATGGCAGATGAAGGCCCGCTGCAATATATATGTAAATAAATTTGTCTTGAGCATTTTACACGGCCTACTGTGACCGCGCGTAAGGGTAAAAAAATTATGTTTTTAAGAGAAAAGGGAGATCCCCTGTTATCCTTTGTTTTTTAAAGTTTTTTATAGTTGGACGTTATAGTCCGTGACAGCCGTCAAAATCAAACCCCTTGATTTTTCTCCAGGTCCTAGATGATGGAGCTGGTTTCGAGGGCGATAAGAAACGATTGTCATCACAGGTATGAACCTGTGTACCACCCACTCTCCGCATGGTGCAGAAGAGGGTGTGGTTTTCAACCGCACTTGGCGGTTGTCCAACGTCGAGAGATCAATCTCTCAAAGCGCGTGTCAGTCGACACTTGAGTGTTGAATGCGACCCTCGAGATTAACGAGGACCGCATGAGTATGGGTACTACATAGTACGCCATAATTGCGACTGCTTGCGTATGCTTGCATTGCGAGTTGATATGAGATTAGCCCTGCGCCCGCACGGTTTTATACCAAGTCTTGCGCGCGACGCCTATCCGATTTCCGTTTCGGAAAGTTATGGGATAGTTGCCAAAGGGGCTAGGATTCCGTGCGTCGTTTGTTTGCGTCGTTTCGTCCTTGTGTGCGTGCGTGTGTGCTTGCGCGTGTGCGTCTTGTGTTTTGTACTTTGTGTTGTTAGAGCGGTGTACGCATGATGTGTAGTGTACGCCCTAGTCGAACAACGACGAATTGAGCTTGGATCTTCAGCCCCCCAAGATGTCGGTTCGTGTGCGGGTCCGATAGAGGTGTGTTACCGCGCGTACCCCCTACGCTACAACGAACAAGAAACACCCTCCGCTGGTCCACCTTTGTGATTGCAGCTGATTAGTTTTCGTACTGTGGACTGGTAGCTCGGCGGGGATACGCCCATCGAAGGGAGGTGACAACCCCCATAAGGTGGAGGTAAGTCGTGCCTCACGTAGGCCCTATCCTGTCATAGGGGCTCGCGAGAGGTATGACTGGCGCACTCGGCCGGAGCGGCTTGCGAAGACTCTATGTGTATTCGCGACGAGAATCAGACCGACTCCTGTGTGACGCGGTCGGGAGGGTCCCGCCCCGTTTCGTGTGGTGCCGGACCGATGCGCTCGACAATGGAAGGGCGAGACATCAGGCGAAATTCAATGACACATTCACTCACATTATTGTGAGCCAAGTATCTGCAACAAACATTCACTCATTGATACATCCACAAAGAGAGAAAGAAGAGGATAATATACACTCGTTTGATTGAGAAAAAAAGTTGGCACCTCGTCATGCAACTTAACTCCAAATATATGATAAAGAAGAAAATAAGGCGCAAAGAGCCTTCTACCTCTACTTTTAAGTTATGGCCCCAGATCATCCAACCACCCACCATCAGACCTCACCTTGCTCGAGCATTGACGATCTCGATCACCGCGTATCCAACACTAAAATCGGACGATCGTCACCCCATCTACTAAAGTACAACGCAGATTGGTCCGGATCCTGCAATCCGTCGCAACGATCTAGCCCACAATTCCGTGAAGCTGCAACTGACTGGTCAGAACTTATCAAGTTGCTGATCACCACCTCATCTAACCACTACCAGAGTTGACCGATGTATTGTGAAAGAGTGAAAACGATGTGGTTGCGAGATTTATAGTTGCGAAAAGAAGGGGAAATGAATTATAAGAAGCGAGAGAAAAGGGGAAAGAGGAGAAAGGGGACGACTCGAGGGAGAGTCGTGTCGATCCGCGTGGAGTACTTCGTAACCAATCAACTCGCAGTGTGAGGGGTTCAAAACCTCCTTACACACTGTCGTCCGACTTCTACGATTAGTTTGGGGATCGACAAGACTTTCCTATGTGTAGTTAAAGGTAAGAGAGGAGGTTACGAGAAACAGTATATAGCAGAACCAAGATTCAACAAAAACAAGAAAAAAGAAAGGTCGAGAAGGGAGGGAGAAGAAAACAATCATAGTTCGTCGGTGATGGGGCGAAGAAAGAGGCTGGGGAAGCAAGAAGAAATCTCATGTAGGAGTGTGGCGAAAAAGGATGTATGCGCGCAAGACAAAAAAGGCATAAAAATAGTTATGCGAAATGCCAGTGAAGTTGCACCTAATTCATAAAGCGGAATTGAAATTGAAAAGTTCGACAGAAAATTGAATGCGTGAATTCCTACGTCTATTCCTATTCTATCATCCATCAACAAAAATTTCACGGGGCTTGCAGGGGCATCTCCCAAAATGTACATGCACAAGGAAAGGATTCGTTGCTAAGTATCCCAATGGGCACCTGCAATTTCCAGACTTCAAGAAAAATATGAGGAAAAAGAATTTCAAGCGCGCTCGCTAAGGCGAACAGCAAAATACAAGGAAATTTCAAAAAATCGCATAGACGAAAAATCAAGATTGGCTGATGTGTCCCATGCATCGGGGGCCATCAAGGACAAGCCCTGGGAACAGCCAGAGGCCCAAAACCACGACTAAGACGAAAGTGCAACCTGGACCGGGTACAGGAACTGGACGGGAACTGGACCGGGTAGAGTCCCTTCGAATCACGAGGTCGAAACTTGCTCCAATACAGGAATCTTGCCGTAATAGGAGCTTGTCCATGCACACAAGCTGGTGCGTCAAAGGAGTCCCTTCACATCGTGAGTTCGAAACTTGCTCCAGTACCTGTCTCTTATACACATCTAGATGTGTATAAGAGACAGACTCATAGGAGTCCCTTCACATCACGAGTTTGAAACTTGCTCCAATACAGGAATCTTGCCGTAAACTAGTGTGTCACAGGAGTCCCTTGGCATCATGAGTTCGAAACTTGCTCCAATATACAGGAATCTTCCCGTAATAGGAGCGCGTCCATGCACGCAAGCTGGTGCCTCACAGGGCATCATGAGTTCAAAACTTGCTCCAATACTCGCAGGAGTCCCTTCCCATCATGAGTTTGAAACTTGCTCCAATACAGGAATCTTGCCGTATAGTAAACAATCAGTGGCATATGGACAAATGTCATTATTGTTACGTCGACCACGAGGTCGAGAAGCTTTCCTAGGACCCCAAAAAAAAAAAAAAAAAAAAAAAAAGAAGCTTTCCCAAGAGTTATCGGTCCTCGCTGCACTACTCTCGAAATGTGCAAAACGAGAGTGAATCGACCGCTAAAATATGGAAAGATACACGGCCATGATTTTTGTCTTTTGCGCATGTCAAGAATAGTGCAGCGAGGCCCATATTATGGCAAAATTCCTGTTTTGAGCAAGTTTCGAACTCATGATGCGAAGAGACTCCTGTGACGCACCAGCTTGTGTGCATGGACGAGCTCCTGAGCCCCTTCCTTCTTTTGTTTTGGTGTTTTCTGTATGGCGGGGTCGATCTCCGCTGCACGGGGTACCACGTTTTTCCTGAAAGGAAGAAAAGAGGGGGCGATGACGGGCCAACACTGCGTGCCTCCTGGATGTTTCCGCCGGGCCAGCGGCACGGGTTGCGTGTCCCCCGTGATCACCAAATGAAATTAAATAGGCAGTTTTTCTTATATACTTTACTTGGATCCGTTTTCATGCTTTTAGCTATTTTATTGATTTTGTTTCAAATGGGAACCACTGATTTACAAATCTTATTAACAACAGAATTTAGCGAACGACGTCAAATATTGCTATGGATTGCTTTTTTTGCATCTTTTGCAGTGAAAGTACCTACGGTACCAGTTCATATTTGGTTACCTGAAGCTCATGTAGAAGCACCCACCGCTGGATCTGTTATCTTAGCGGGAATTCTCTTAAAATTGGGAACTTATGGTTTTTTGTCCGCTCCGCTTCATGGAAATTCCGCACGTTTTTCAGAACGGCGGGGAAGGAAACAAAAAAGGAAATTTCGCCCGCCAATCAGTCAGGTCCACAACTGGCGAAATATGAAAATGGCGAACGCATCTCCCCTTCTTCTCGAGGAACATACATCCGCCAATTTTCACATTTGAGAAGCAGCGCAGCAAAGCGACGCGACGGGCTGGGTGTTGCTGCGGACGAAGCACCCCGCTTGGCTTGCTTGATTGAAGGGACGCACGCGTCTGTGACGTCCGTCCTCAACAATCATCTGGCCGCTCCGCTAGCCGCGCCTTGCTGACCAGAGGATCGATGCTTATCGCGTGAAATGCGGCAGAACAGATTCGCCAAGGCAGTGGAAAGGAAGCGAGGCAGCGAGAGCACGATTCTCCCCAGCTCTCTCTCGCTTCTGCTTGTCCCGTAGTGAATGCTGACGAAGAAGACGACGTCCTCTATCGTCCGACGATAGAATCAAAACACACACACACACACAAGAGAGAGAGAGAGAGAGAGAGAGAGAGAGAGAGAGAGAGAGAGAGCTGCACGGCTCGGGGTTGGTTTAAAAGTGCAGGGAATCCGAAGTACAGAGGGGAGAGGGGAGAGAGGAGAGAGGAGAGAGGAGAGTGCTTCCTCCGTCCGAGCGGCGATGCATGCGGCACGTATTGGCAGCTGCGCCGGTGGGTTGTACGACTGGCGGTCGTTGGAAGGAAATCGTCGGGATCCGGTGGCCAAGCCTGTCTCTCAGCCTACCGCCCAATCTGCACGTGACCAGAGGCCACGTGGCAGCATTCCAATTGCTCGTGTCACGCGAGAAAGTGAATGGGGTAACAAATTGAGCGCCGGTAACAAATTTAGCGCCGGTAACAAATTTTGCGGTAGCAAATTGAGCAGCAAAATCTTGAATGATGACAATTTAACTGGCATCGTCGGCTTCTGGCGCGAAGCAACGTCGTGCGCGGCAGCGTGCGTGACGAAGACGAAGGGATTGGGTGAAAGGAGTGAGGAAGCTGTTCGTCCGTGTGGGCGGGTCGCTCACACGTGCATATTTGGCGGGAGGGAGAGCGCTCTTCTTGCTACGGCGGACGGTAGAAAGAGCGGGAAAGCTTCTTTGCCGCCAAATCGGGGAAGGCACGTTTGCCACGTGGACGGCGTCGGGGAACTAGAGCGCGAGGAGTCAGCAGCATCGCCTCAGGCATCCGGCGCAACTCAGTTGGGAATGGACATGGTCACCGAAGATGACGTCACGAAGAATACAGCTTCGGCTATGGCGGACGAGAACGGCGACGGCGGTCAGAACCAGCGGTTTATTGATGCGCTAGTGAATGAGGCTTGTATTTGGTCGGCGTTGAATGGGTTGCTTGTTGGCGATGGTAGATTGAAGGTAAGATATGATGAAGGAAAAAAATGATTGAGGGTAGACGTCAAGAAATGGTCAAGTTGGTTCCGAATACCCGAACACGTAACTCAATCACGGTGAAAGATTCTAACTGTACGTGTCTTTTTGTATTTTTGGTCGTTTTTTTCTCTTCATTTCCCCCCTTTTTTTTTTCTTTTTCTTTTGTTTTCCGCTTGTAAGTTTTATGCCTTTTTCTTCCCTTTTTCTCATTCCCCCCCCCCCCCCCCGGCCCCCTTTTTCGCCTTTTTCTCCCCCCTTCCCCCCCCTTTTTTGGCCTTTTAACTCAGTCATTGTGAATTTGTGAAAGGTTAAAATCATACATGTTCTTCTTGGTCTGAATGAAAATGGATATTATGGAATTATAAAACAAGAAAAGGAATGAGTGCTTGTTGATGATGGCAGATTGAAGGTGAGATATGAAGCTTGTGAAGAAAATAGGATAATAAAATAAAATAAAATAAAATAAAATAAAATAAAATAAAATAAAATAACAGAAAAGAAAAGAAAAGAAAAGAAAAAATCGGATCGGATAGTAGATAAGGGGAAAGGAAAGATTGTTTAAAAAAAGGAAAGAAAGGAAAATTCGGAGGTCTCTTCCTGACGTATGTAGACGAGTGTGCACGATTCCACGCTACGGTAGTTTCAGGGCGTATATTCGCTTCACACTAGGACTTTTTTCTGCAAGGCTCTGGACGTAATTGCAGTCAGATTCACCCACGTCTAGCCGTAATTGCGATCAGATGCATTTGTGAGTTGCAAAACTTAACGTGAGCTGTGTAGTGAATGTGTGCTATTTATTTTATTTTATGTGTTTTATGATGAACATTTTTTTTTCACAATGATGAACTTTTTTTTTTTTTTTTTTTTAATGATGAACTTTTATCATTTGCTTTAAGGGGAAAAACACTTTGGGACCCGGAAAAAAAACATTTTTTTTAAGTTGTTATGTCAGGCTGTCGTACTGTTCCTGGGCTTGGTGTGGGAACGGATCCCGACAGTCTGGGCAGTGCCGAATAATCACGAAAAGTTTTTTTTTCTTTTTCCGCCTTTTCTTCCTTGTTGTATCTGATTTGTTGTGAATTAGTAATGACACGAGTGGATTCCGAAGGTGGCGTAAGTGGGTTAATCTGACCGCGATTTACGTCCACATTCACCCCAGCAACGTTACAGATACTTACAGCGGTTTCCTCCGCAAATTGCTGCTTGGTGTGGGGACAGATCCCGACAGTCTGGGCAGCGTGGAATAATCACGGAAGTTTTTTTTTTTTTTTTTTTTCCGCCTCTTCTTCCTGATTAGATCTGATTTGTTGTGAAAATTAGTAATGACACGAGTGGATTCCGAAGGTGCTGCAAGTGGGTGAATCTGACTGCAGTTACGTCCACATTCACCCACAGCAACACTACAGATACTCAGAGCAGTTTCCTCCGCAAATTGCTGTAAGTATTGGTAATCTATTGTCAAGTTCTCTTTTTTTGTTCCCCCCCCCCCTCACCCCCCCCGCCCCCTTGATTTAGAGAGTTGTGTCTACTTCATTTTGTATTGTGTTCCATGAGTTTTCTTTGTATAATTTATTTTCATTTAAAAAAAAGAAAGCGTGCGCGATTTTGTCGTTCAACGTATTACATAATTAACTTAAATTAAGTGTTTTATTTATTTAACATACATTTAATTATTCATTTGTTTGTTTTGAAGGTGTTCTAAATTTGTAGAGTTTGGTTATACAAGGGGAAAGAATTCTCCGAGCAGGAAATTTACTTAATAAAAAATCAAACAATGTTCGTGCATGGTGCACACGGCCAGGTGCATGCATGATCTGCACCGTGACGGTTAGGACGTCCAGGTACATCGTGATAGGGGCCTGGGTTGTTATTTCAAATTTTTTGGCGGGCGTAGTTTGAAAGCTGCCCAATGCTCGCGCGCGATGCAGAAGGCCAGGTGCATGCATAATCTGCACGTTGACGGTTCGCGCATCCAGATACATTGTGACCGGGGCCGGGTTGAAATATTGGCGGAGGTAGTTTTTTTTTTTTTTTCCTTTTTTTTTAAAGGCTAATTCTTTAAGCCCAACCAATTCAATTACCTGTCAAATCTGGACAGGACGGCCTTTCAGGCCTTTTTTATTGTCATTATAGGATTACGGGGAAACCCGTAGCAGCCACATCCGTGCTCAAGCCTCCAACGAGGGAACATGCGGGAGCTGCACCCACCAGCAGGTGCGATACCTGCTACAGCAGGTGGGCGATACCGGCCAGGGGTCAGCCGGTAGCATCAGGACCGAGCTTCTTCGATGGGCCAGTCACTGTGCCTCCCCTCCGGTCCCCTCCCCCTATGAACATCAGCAGTCTCTGCTTAATGCCACTCGGGGGGACCGTCGGCATATCTCCAGGTGGCGGGCGCCAAGCTTGCCAGGAAGGTTCATGAGGCCAATGGGGATTGAACCCAAGACCTCCTGAATGCCACTTGCGTGCCTTACCAACTGAGCTAGGCCGCTGGATAGCGGAGGTAGTTTTGGCAATCACCCCCTTTTTATACCTTAAAAAAAATCACCGCTAAAAAGAAAAAAGAAAGTCCATGGCTTAAAATAAAAATAAAAATCAATCCCTACACAGATCTGTTTGCGATTATGGTCCGCTCAGGGGTGAAGTCACAGTAGCAAAGAGGATTGGATGTAATTACTGAATCTGGACGTGTTCGTGGAGAGGTGCAGGAAAGCGCTTTTGATCTGCTTTTCTGCATCTATGCACAAAACACGTCCAGATTCAGGCGAATACCCCCCCCTCCCCCCCGTCCCCCTCCAGCTGTTTTGCCCATATAGGCATGGACTCGGATGGAGGCTTTTTTTTTTTTTTTCCTTCGGGAAAAAATCGCTTTTGATCCAATTCTTATCCTATTAAAAAAAAATTATCTTCATAATTGTCTTGTCTTCACAGTGGTCTTTTTATCTTTTTTCTTTTTTTTTTTGGTTCTTTTTACTTGTTAGTGGTAGGTAGGTAGTGAAAGGCGAAAAAAAAGAATTTGAGAGAAGAATATAGTGTAGTTCAAAAAAAAAGAGTCTATTGGCTTCGCTCCACTACTCACGGGATGTGCAAAATGAGAATGCATTTTCCACTAGAACATGGAAAGATACACCGCCATATCTTTTGTCTTTTCTGTATGTAGCGAGTAGTGGAGCGAGGCCCTCTGGGATGATGGGGGATGTCTTCTTTGTGCAATCATGTATGATGTATGTGTGTGAGGGGTTGTGTGAATTCTTAGTGTGGGGTGGTACCATGCTACGGGTGACTTATCGGTGGGCGAGGCTAATCTTCACTGTATCGTTCCAATTTTAACGGATGTCCCAAAGGACGATTTACGTTGTCGGCAATTTCGAGACGTGCCTTTGCATGTGTCTTAGGCTAGTATTCATGTTCTCTGAGATCGTGAGTCTGTCATGGTGTTCGCAGCCCGTCAGGGTTGCGTTTCCGCCCCCTGAGACATTTCAATGTCAATCAAATTTCAACGTCGTGGTCATCGGGAGGGTGGGCATTTCGAGGTTTTGGGGCCTTGCAAGGGCCAGGACCGCGTAGGACCGGTAGCTGCCCGTAGGAGGCCGAGGAGACTGTGGTCCTTAAGCCTTTTTCGAAATTGAAACGGTGTGGGTGCACTTTTCTTGAATAGCAGAGTACCTCGAATAGAAATTGTACACGTATTCGAATACAACGTGTACCCTTTCTATTCGGATTTGAAATAAAAAACCTCTTGTATTCCAATACAATTACTACTTTTTTTTTGGAGGTCAGCGCCTGCCCTTGGGGCCTTGCAAGGGCCAGGACTACGTAGGACGGGTAGCTGCCCGTAGGAGGCCGCTTTTTTCGAAATTGAAACGGTGTGGGTGCACTTTTCT